AATTTGAAATAGGGCCTGACACAAAACCTGTCTAGACCGTGGGACGCCCACATGTTATTTTTAGACACAACATGCAATATGATTGACAAGTGTTATAGATTTCGTTACACAAAAAAATTATATTCTCGTGAACATGTCCGCAGAGTGTGCATTTTGCTTTATAATTAAACTTAAAAATCCAAGGTACTTTTATATAAATAAGATTCAGACAAAGATTTAATTAGTCAGTTCTGTGCACGGCTAGACTGCCAAGCTTTCTCAAGGTCTCAACTTGCTGGCCGCGGATATTAGGGATATACTTTATTAAAACGGGCTAACAACAGCAACAATGAAATTCTCAATCGTACCACGAAGAAGGCGATGTAGCTCAGAAAACAACGCCGGTAGGACCTGATATTAAAAGTAAGACTTTTGCCGGCGAAGCCAGTTGGCAAAACATCTTGGCTGTCAACAACAAGCTTTCGAATACATGACTAGTTTGGCTGTTCTTTCGGCGTCGTGTGTCCAAAATTCGTCCAAGATTTTGATAAACCCCTTTCAAAATACTGTTTGTTTGATTTATTTTCTGCCATAAAGCATAAAAGAAAAAGAAATTCGAAGAAATCGATAATGGAATTTGTACGTGCGTTTGATCTTTATATTAATTGTCGCCTTGACCGAGCTATTTTTAAAACTGTTGTTTATGTAAACTTGCAACCAATCAAAATCCTTCATGATGCTGATCAACCAATCAGATTTCCCGTCCACCAGGTGGACGGGAATCTCACACTTTAGATAGGTTCTGTGTCAGGCCCTATTCTGTGAGTAGGGCCTGAACTTCAGGTTAGGTCGCGGGACACCTATGAAGCTTGGGTTTGGGTCGCCGAAAAAAAGGGGTGAAGACCCCTGCTATATATAATACTCTTACCGTTTTTTCATAGCTTGCTTATACTTCTACAAATATTTTGATTGAAAGGAATGAAGAAATGTCCGCCATCTTCGAAATATCAAGATCACTCAAAACCTTTAAAACATGTACCAATCAATATTTGGACTGTTCCAAAACTACCGTTAATGAGATAAAAAATGTTATCAAGACGGCGGACATCCGGTTACTTCAATTAAGTGAAAATATTTCAAGAACTGTTAGCAAAATATGAAAAATCGGTAAAAGAAGTTAATATATATAGTTTCAAAAGTTCTTTCAAATAAGAAAATAAAAATTTATATTCTCATTTCCCTTTAAATCGTAATACAAGATGCAGTACGTTATATTTCTAAGTCGAAGACGCCATGTTTAATAAAACGATACACAATCACTCACGCTCATATATAAACAGACCCCGAACACAAATAAACAAATTTGTTTTATTCGCGTTTAAGTTTTAACATAATTTTATATTTATAAATTGTCGCGAGTTAGAAAACCTCAATATATTAAATATTTAAAAAAAATTAAAAACACCTGTACCTTACTCGTCCTTAGTGGCACAACAATGGAGTTTTTGTTTTTTTCTGTGTTGGTGTAGTGTACTCAGGTGAATATGATGTTTGTGATGTTACTCTGAGTGTATATCCACACCGGGCGACCTTGAAAAATATGCCCGACCACGGTGGGAATCGAACCTACGACCTTTGGAATACTAGCAAAAAAAAATCATTACTAGATTACATTGGTATCGAAGGAACTAGATTCTGTTCCGAAATATCACTTACTCGAACTGACCTGACCGCGTAGCTCAGTTGGCAGAGCATTGGGCTAGTATTCCAAAGGTCGTAGGTTCGATTCCCACCGTGGCCGGGCATATTTTTCAAGATCGCCCGGTGTGGATATACACTCAGAGTAACATCACAAACAACAATAGTTGTTTCCAAAGCACCCACACGGGCACAGTGAAAATGAACGTCGACAAAAAATAGTTTCTCACAAGCATCGTGCGAGTCGTCTCATGCAGCACACGTGATTGCAATCACGCGGCACAAGATTGCAATCACACGGCACAAGAGTTTCAATCACACGGCACAAGATTTCAATCACACGGCACAAGAGTTTAAATCACGCCTACAAGGTTCCTCGCACGAAAACAATGATCAATTTTGACTTAAATAGGTTGTAATCTTAGACCAATCTCGGAGGCGGACTACATTTATAAGCTGCACGGTTCATTATCATTAATACTGCATGCGAGCAAAATTTATAACTTAAGATTGTGTCTGCAAAAATGCGTCGTATTTTAAATTTTGTGAATTAAAATTTTTAAAATGTCTGGGTTTTAAAATATGCTTTTATATAGGGCCTGTTCCTGAAACTCACTCGATTGACATCTGTATGCCCTAATTTGTTGACGCATATAAAATTCTAGGTGAGATTCCACCTGACCGGAGTGGACATTTTTTTGCCGATTTTGACCTAGCCTAGGCTAGCCTATAATATAGTATTGAAGTTGAACGGCATCGTTGCTAAAACCGAACAAAAAATTGAATCATAACAGACACTATTAAAGCCGTAATACAAAATTCAGTTTGTTTAATTACAAGAAAAATATTCCGAAAACGCCATGTTTACATATATAAACTTCGTTCTGTCATGTGAACACAGTCATCCTGCTCACGCGAGCTTCTCCGCAGCAAACTGGGTTCATATACAATACTGTAAACTGGCCCTAAATACAGGTTTGTTGTAAGTTTTATTCATAAAGGGACCATTTGCATTATAGACTAAATTTTGATCCAGGCAAAAATTTCATCACAGCTTGAAAGAGCATCACAAAATTAGTAATATTCCAAAGTTTCTTTGCGAAATGTTGTAAAATGCGGATAATATAGCCCTGCGAAATTTGCAATTTTCAGTCATTTTGTATTACAAACGGGAAATTGATACCGCAACACCCGATTGGGCTGTCAATTATGTGGCATAAAAATCCCATTTTGTTGAGTTTCCCTGAAGAGTGAAGACTCGCATGCGAGAATGGCGACCAGACACCGCGTGCACTCGGTCCGTCTCGGGTTTACACAATTACACTATCAAAGTTTCTGTGATCACAGTAGGAATTTTGCATCGGTAAATTCTAATTTGTAAGAAATGTTTGTTTAAAAATCCTTCAAAACATAGAATTCACCCGATGCAAAATTCCTACTGTGATCACAGAAACTTTGATAGTGTAAACCTATGGGCGCTTTCCATTCAATGGCCTGACCGGTCAGCCTGAATACTTTTCTCAGTATCAAAGGAAAGATCTGGTCTATGTTTCTCAAATGTCTAGCGAAAATGGATTCATTCTAATGTTATCAAAATTTTCCGGTTTGATAGGTCCGCAGCCCAAATGTTTTGTGTTTCATTCAACAATTTGACCGTTCTGACCGGTTGGGCCATGTCAATGGAAAGGCCATAAGAATACATTCAAGTTCAAGACATCAATTTGACACGGTCCTTTTAATAGATCAAACTCATTTTATTTTAAGTTAATTTATTAATATACCTAAATCAATATACATTTGACCAGTTTCTAAAGTCTTGATACAACACTATACATACACACTCAATTTTATCTATAATAATTAATATATTTACAATAATCTCTTCTTATTTCGAGGAAAATACATTTTTGTTTTAAATTAAACTGGATATTTTATGCAAAATATTTAAGGTCATTTATTAACACACATGTTTTACTGCACGCGCGCTTGTCGCAGGTGTGAATTAGGTCAACAAACAAACATTTCTCAGTGATGTTTTGGAGGTGTTCGATGCCCATATATTCGTTTTTACCATTCCAAAAAAATCCTGTATAGGACTCGAAAATTTTAATTTTCGAGTCCATATAACATCTACCAAAATTAACTATAGCAAATATGTATTTTCCTCAGATTGTAAATCCAAGCTATATGCCATGCCGCATATGGTTTATATAACAAACCGCGGTTATCTTACATAATTTACGGTTATGTAAGATTCATATGTCAAGTCTTGTGTGTTACTTCGCCTCGCGGTTAAATCAACATGATATTTGCAGCACAGTATTTACAGATTACACGGATTTAATTTATACAATATTACATAACGAGTCGAGTACAGGATACGATTGAAATGCGAACGGATACAGTTCATACAGTCTCCTAAGTTCCTAACAGCCTGTAACAGGCGATTAACGCGATTTCTCCAAAAATTACAGTACAACACTCAACAGGAAAACTACGTCTTTGATTTGAAAACTCTATAAACTATCTTGGCCCTTACAAACCAGAATTTGCATTGACACAATCCTGATTTATAAGGCCCTAAACTATGTCATAGGCGGACCCTATGACGAAGCGCAATACTTTGTACAGTATGTCACACCATCATATACAAAGCGAGAGTTCACACGTAATACATTTCGAGGCAACACATTCATCACTTTTTCAAGCTGTTCAGTTCTCGTTTTAGCCGTGTATTCTCTTCTCTCAACGTAGCCAGTTCAGCTCGAACTCTGAGATTCTCTGTCTCCAGCACGGCAGAACGCTGGTTTATCAAAGCTTCGCGCTGTCTGCGAGCGTCTCGAGACTTCTTCGCGCTCACGTTGTTTTTCTTTCGACGGTCCCAGTATTGATCTGTCTTCTCAATCTGCCGCGTTGAGGCTCTGCCGCGCTTTGCAGACTTAATCTGTTCTTGCTCATCGTTCGTAGACGAATCCTGAACGTGTGTTACTACAGACGGCTTCGCTTGAACAGACACATTTTCTTGTATCACACTGCTTCGTTCCGGCTGAGGTCTAATAGTTTGTGTTTGTAGTTTTTCAATCTCTTTCTGCCGGCGTCGTTTTAACGTCTCTCTTTCGTCTAGTACAAGGCCTTCATCTTCATCGCTGTGAATAGATTGCGTTTTTTCTCTTACTGTTTCAAAATCGTACTCTACCTTGTCCTTGTCTGTGATGGCCGTGCTATCTTGGCTCCCTTGACTTGTTTCGGAACTAATACTACTAGCACCGTGTTTGCCCTTCCATCTGTCTATTTTCTCAATATTTTCTACTCGTCCCGTAGCGTTATCATTGTTTTTCATCCATGCTACTGTAGGAGCGAAACCGAGAAATGAATGCGGGTAAATTAAGGCAGGCAATCTCATCGGACTAAACCCTGCAGGCAGCCAGCCATAGTACGCTCTGGCATCAGGATAACCAGCTTGAAAATAGGGATTTTTCTGCATATCGAAGTAGCTTGTTTCTCCAGTATTCTCTTCTGAATTCGTATTCCCATGCTTGTTTAAGATATGAGTAAAATTCGCATTGTTCGTGCTAATAGTATTAGCCAGGGAAGGTTGTTTTGAATTATTCGTCCATTCGTCAGACCCCGTGTTGTTACTATACTCGGTCGCTGAATATCCACTCTCGGCGCTTTCGCTCTCGTAGTAGCTCCCCTTTCGTCCCTGTATGACTGTATGAGGGGTATTTGAATCAGGTGCTGTCATGGTAAAGTCAAATAGCACTTTCCCTGCTTGCCGTCAATCGTAAATTTGTCCATCGTAGTTCGTCAACGTTTCTTTATGTTACATTTTAATGGCCTCTCTTCAGGGAGCCAATCACGTGACAGTTTAGCGTTGCGTAACATGCCGACAGCCAGTGAGTGAATTTGCTCAAAATGTGACAGGTGTTTTGTTACACACACAATCCACTCACGTGACCCCTCGTCGCTTGAACTGAAAAACAACATGGCCAAGTTGTTATCAGAAACCGATCTTTCAAACACTCTGATTTGTATAAACTGTTTGGGAACATATACTAAATTATGTTTGTGATGTTACTTTGAGCGTATATCCACACCGGGCGACCTTGAAAAATATGCCTGGAACCTTTGGAATACTAGCCCAATGCTCTGCCAACTGAGAGTACGCGGTCAGGTCGGTTCGAGCACAGTTACTAGACTGTGGTTCGAGTAAGTGATATTTCGGAACAGAATCTAGTTCCTTCGATACCAATGTAATTTAGTAATATGATTTTTTTTCTTAAGAAATCGAAGGAACTAGATTCTGTTCCGAAATATGGTATCGAAGGAACTAGATTCTGTTCCGAATATTTTTTAAGGTCGCCCGTTGTGGATATACACTCAGACTAACATCACAAACATATTCACCTGAGTACACAACACCAACACAGAAAAAAATATACACTAAATTAATATCAATAATATGCCGTCCATCTCCTCATCTTGCTAAACAAAAAATGAGGCCCCCTCTGTTAATATAGGGATGTGTAGACCCTTTCCTGAAATCTTACTGATGAAAATATGATGATTTATCTCACATGCATTGGTTTATTCTGAAAATTTGATAAAATCATGCATGCAGATTATCTGGCAAGATGAGAAGCAACCGGCATCCTTTCTTGGCTAAAAAAAGATTCTATCCCCCTGTTCAGTAGTGCCAAAATAATATTTGCTTACACTTGCGACGAAACGGTTCAAAACCAAAAATGGTTTTGGCGTTCCTCTCAAAATTACTTTGTTTTCGCTTTATTTTGTAGTTTACACATGCAGTTAGCATTCTTTTTAAATGCATCTGGCGGTTGAGAAATACAAAATAATAGCATAATCATTTTAGCATAATTTTACAGATAAAACACTAAGTCTAAACATGCTTTTTAAGTTTGTTTGCCGCTTGAGAAAGGTATCAAATATGCAAGAGTGGGTAGTAGCGACGTAGTTGTAGTTCGCCACTGTAGCGAACTACAATTTTCAAGTAGCCAGTAGTTTTTGACTACTTTTTTAAAACAGTAGTTGTAGTTATATAGCGAACTACATTTTTCCTAAAAGTAGCCAAGTAGTTGACTACTTTTCAAACAGCGAATCGCTATTCGCTACTTTTTAAAATTGTTAGCAACCGTTCGTAGAATGTAATGATATTAAGACACGGTATTCTTAAAAGATTATTTTATACAGTAAAGATTATTTTAGCGCATTGAAAAGTGGCACTCCTGAACACTGTATAGTGCTTACAAAAATGTTGCTTTGACCCTTTTGTTTACTGTTGCTACTCGTAAGTCGATTTGTTATAGGTTAAATTACA